GCATTGTGGCTGGCGACTGTGGTCCCAGCTACTTGGGAGGCGGAGACAGGAGACTCACTTGAGCCCAGGAGTTGGAGGTTGCTGTGAGCTCTGATGCCATGGCGCTCTACCCAGGGGAACAGCTTGAGGCTCTGTCTCCAAAAAAAAAAAATCCTTGAGGGGTATTAGTTGTTCCCACTGTTCATGAGAGAATTGGGAGGTTCAAAGAAGTTGAGTGATTTGCCAAAGTCACGCAGCTAGTAAAGGGTGTAGCACTTCAGACCTGTACCTGACTGCTCAGGTCAGGGCTGCTGCTCCTGAGACACTCCCAGCACTCTGCAGTTCTTAACTCTCACTGCACTTCAGAATCAACTAACTTACAAAATGTGCAGTCCTCAGACCCTGCCCAAAACCAATTGAATCAGAGTCTCTAGAGCATAGCCAGGAAATGGGCACACTATTCTTGTCTCTCCTGTATTTGAGGATAATGAGTATTGTTTTTGTGGAATTTTTGGGCTTTTTTTCCCTTAGTGATGAAACTCTTTCCGAAAATGAAAGCTTATTTGGTCCTGAATAGATGTATAGCTAGAAGTTAAAACTCTTTGGTCAAAGTGGAATGAGGAGCCCAGGGCTTGCTCACTCGGCCTCCCCTGTGTTTGAAAGTGAAAGGAGGAAGCTAAATGGCTGGGCCTGCCTCACTTGCAGAGAAGCAGATGGGCCGGACTCTGCCGGAGCTGATAACACAGTTCAACCTGATGCGGGTCACCTGCCACTCAGCTCTGCTGGACCTGGAGAAGCTCCCAGAATTCAACAGGTACGTGGGGGGCATGGACATCCACTGGTGGGAAAAAGCATCTTGCTTCTGACGGTCCCCACAGCGGAGCCTTTAGTGGGCTCTAGAGTTGCACAGCCCTGATTTTGACTTTGAGCTCTGTTATCTAATGCCGCGTGACCACAGGTTAAGTCACCTAACCTCTTCCAGCCTCCATTTCCTTTTCTCTAAATTGGGACTAATGATAGTACCCATCTTATGTGATTGTTGTAAGAATTAAATGTTGGATGATGAGAGTATCTTGTATAGCCCTGGCTCATAGAAAGTGCCTTATAGTGATTCTTAGCAGTGGATCACTCAGCTCATGCATCAGTGAAGACCACAACTGGCTGCAAGAATTAATGTGAATTATATAGGACACATTGAGCAGAAAAAAGAAAAGAAAGTGCTAATAAGTGATTGGTATTATTTTATCACTAGCATTTTGTTCTTGGCTACCCCCATACATGGATGGTTCTGTTAACATCCAAAAGCCTGCAGAGAGGCATCTTCATTTTAGAATCACTCCTACTTAGCCCTAGCCAACACAGTGAATGAGCACTGTCTCAGGCACCTAAGTTTATATTTCATGTATTTGGTATTTCAAATAATTCTTCACTTTGAAACTATATTTGCAGCTCTGCGCCTGTGGCTCAATTGGCTAAGGCACCAGCCACATACACCGAAGGTGGCGGGTTCGAATCCAGCCCGGCCGCCAAACAACAACGGCTGCAAGCAAAAAAAATAGCCAGGCGTTGTGACAGGCGCCTGTGGTCCCAGCTACTTGGGAGGCTGAGGCAGGAGACTCACTTGAGCCCAGGAGTTGGAGGTTGCTGTGAGCTGTG